TACAAATGTCCCCTTCCACCACTCAAAGATGGCAGGAAGATGACCAACGTTATCCCCCGTGGCAATACGAGGAGCAGTTTTTGGTATAGTGGCCCGATGGAACTTCCTCGACGGCACCCACAGAGTTGCGTGAACAACTTCAAGGACTTCCGATCGGTTACACCGAGAGCTTAGCCCAGGGTGATCGCACCCAACGCGATGTAGCTCTGGGCAATGCATGGCATCTCCCCACCGCGATCTGGATCCTATTCCTGGTGTTATTGGGGACAGCCGAGGCGACGGTACCGCGATCCCCGAGTGAGTCAGCCCTGGACAAAGTGGTCAATTTGTGGACGGCGATCAGGTACCTTTCGGACCTCCACCGTGACGTGGCCTCTACGATTACATGCCTCTGTTTTCGTGGACCGAACACCTAGACTGGGTCCGACATCGTGACACGAACGTGACGCCCAAGGAACTCGACCCTACACTACGATGGTGCCTCCAACACAGACGCCTCTTCCATCCTCTTGCACAGTTCCAACACGATGTCATTTCCGAGATCCGTGACTTGGTCATCGACTTCGAGGATCACACGACGGCTTGGTACCACACACTTCCGCCACATGTTCAACGAGCATACAAATTAAGGACTCCGTGACGCAAATCCCGATCCTCATCCACTTGCTACGCCTGCTCGGATATCCGCAGACAGAGGTCTTGTATCGCGAGTTGTCCGAGGGTTTCCCTTTGATGGGCAAACTCACGCCAGGGGTCAACTGGCACGTTCGACAAGATCGGAAATACCTTCAGCCCACGCCCATGGAAGACTTCAAGGACAAGAATCGCGAATACATACGGGACAAACTCGAAGCCAACAAAGTCGACGACCACTGGCACTTCATGCTCGATGAGATTCTGGCGGAGGTCAAGTTGGGCAGGATGAACGGCCCTTTCAAGGCACCCTCTTGGTGGCCGAAACCCTCTGCGGCGACAGCACACCAAGGAGCCGATGTCCTGCTCGATCTTCCACATGACGATCGCGATGGCATTCAGCATCGAACAGACGGGCAGTGATGGCAACACCCAGATACGCCGAGGTGAGGATTGGCGACGCAGTGGACACAATGCCACGTGCATCATGCACGACCAACCTTTCCATCACACCTCCGATCACTTCGTGTCACTCGGCCTGGCCTTCCTCGAGAAGAACCGCGAAACACCTCTCCGCGTATGGGGGCACGATCATGACGGAGCTTACCGATACCTCTTCATGATCCTCGACAAGCATACGTCCTGCTCCTGACTCCCTTCAGCCCCACGTTGTGGAGTCACAACGTTCTTCTTTTCGGATCGGCAGCGAGTGTCTGGTCCTACAACCGATTTGGGGACGTTCTCGTTGCCTGTAGCAGGATCTCCCGCACTTCACTACGTGGACGACTACGGCTCCATGGAGGATGAGTCCTCTGCAGATAGCAGTCAGTTTCCAGGCCTTCGAGGATTACAACGGGTGCCTACAGATCTCCATGAAAGCTAGTAAACGACAACCGCCGCAGACACAACATCGGATACAAGGAGTGCTGATGTCCTCCGACCCAGACAACCTCATCTTGACCCCGTGTCCTGCTCGAGTCAAAGCGATGACCCAACAGATCGATAAGCATCTGAGTATGGGCAGTCTGACTACAGAGGAGGCCAGGAAGATGGCTGGCAAGTGCAACTTTCTCCGGGACGGCTCTTTGGCAAGGTTGGACGCGCCCCCCTCAAAGCCTTGTACGCCAGAGCACATTCTTTCTCGCACCTACTCGACAAGCCAACACGATCATCTCTGCTGGCACTGCGAGATATCATATTGCATTGCAAACCCATGACTATCCCGCGTAATCCAACCTCCATCTCATACAGCGTCATCTACACCGACGCGTATTTCAAGCTCCAGGGAAAGGTTTACCGCCCAGGCGATGAAAACCTGCCCCAGTGGGACTCGAACCAGAGCAATGAAAAAGAGAGCGGCTGGGCAGCACTGTGCTTCCACCAAGGTGACGTGCACAATGGTGCTTACTTTCAAGGGAGATTACCGTCGATGCTACTTCGGCAGTTCTCAGCCGACCAAGCTTTCATCTACCTGCTTGAAGCCTGGGCCGCGATCCTGGCGCCGATGATCTTCGAACCTTGGCTCGGGACCTTCTATGTGCAATACTGCGACGATGAAGCTTCCAGACATGCCTTGATCAAAGGTGTCGGTAAACATCAACCGTTGAATTGTCTTATTGCAGCGCATTGGACGTGGCACAATCGTCGAGGGATTGCCCATAGGCTCGAACGGGTTCCCACCAAAGCGAACATCTCGGATGCTTTGAGTCGTTTCGATGAAGTTCCCGAAGCAACACAATGGCATTGCCTGCAGATCCCCATTTCTGCTTTGACTCAGCGACACCAAGATTATAGGCGATAAAAAATCAACATCAAGCTGCAACATGTTCGAGTCAAGGTGCATGGTTTGTCGCATGTACAGCAGAATAACACAAACAGGCCCCAAAAGCGGGGCCATCAGCCACCTAGTAATCATGAGGCAAACATGAACGCAAGCAGCTCTTTTTGCCAATTGCAAAAAACCGTCCATGTTGTGACATCTTCGCATTCGGCGCTTACGAGTCCACTAGGCGACATGTGCAGTAGTGAAGTTGATGGTCATACTTGATCCGCATGCACAGCTCCTGGTAACTCAATTGATGTTATTGCTTGCGTCACAAGTGGTTTTGCAACCTTCCCTTTTTGTTCCGAATTTATTCAAAATCTGCCTAGCGTTAATCCAAATCCCGTCCTGGCACAATGATGAATGAGGGCATTCTTTACAAATTTACATGGTTGCTCATTGACATTTTAATTAGCAAACTAAACTAAGCATATCCAGCATGGACAGTTTCAAAAAAATCAAGCCATCGCTTTGTTTCTTTCAGAAGTCCGGCATGATTCAAGCATGAATATTCCAGCAAAAAGTCACGCAACATGCCTCGCAACTTTCACTTCCGAATATGTTGTGCCCTGTTTCAATTAGGTAGCTTTCAATCTTTCAGAAAACTGGTTTTGGCTTCAAAACCCCATGGATCCAGACCCCCAAGATCCAACTCTCAAAACGATCATGTCGAATGACGCCCTCCCATACCCCTTTGATTGCCACAAAGCAGTCATGATCGAACCATGATAAACTGCTAATGTGATCGAATTCCACGAATACGACAACTGCAAGTAACGGACTTTTCATTTTTGTTTTCCAAGCAAACACAACTTCAATCTAAGCACTAAATAAGCCCTTTCTCCATCTTGATCAACAAAATCGTCACATGCTAATCGCCGACAACACCATTCCAGCTCCGAAGCATGCAAGATTGCAACATGCTGTTCTTTGCGAGTCAAGCGGTCTCAGAAACAGTGATGATGTCAGCAAAAAGAATTACGACACCATTCCAGCATGAAAGCATGTAAGACCACAAAATGCTGATTTTTACGGGAGGTTCAGCACTACAATCTCCGAAACCTTCCTGGCCTCCGCGCTGCCGCATGCACAAAACAACATGTGAAATTCCTGGGAAGCACAGCTTAACTGATAAAAACAACACGTTTAGCGCACACTTCAGAACAGCCACATATCCTGACCCGTATGACAAACAACCCACCATGTCAAGATGTCAATGTTGTCCCGAAATCCGAAACACAGAAAACTAAGCCGAACACGGTTGCGATAGAAAAACAGCATCAAAGCATGTCAGTTTGCAAAGCTTGGTTTTTGCAAGAGAAACAAACTCTGCGGCAATGAAAACTTCACCAAAACAGCCTAGAAAAGAAATAGCTTGCGCAATGCGGCCTCTCCCAAATCTCTTGTCAGCTTGAAAAAAAGCATTTTACTTGTGAAAATCACACTGTTTTTGCAATAAAAACATGCGCAAGATCGCGGGTCAGGATAGTTGGCGTTACCTTGATTTTGCCTGGTGGGTGAGCTGCCGCCCCGCCCCTATTTTTGCTACTTGTTCGCTTTGCCTCCTTCTCCTTCTTGCTCTGCAATGCGCATGTTCCTCGAATTGTTTGTTATGTCTCTGCCTTTGCTGCGGGTGCTATTCGAGCGTTTATGTTGATGTTGCTTGCGTTTGTTTTTGCCTCTTTCGTAACGCAAACTCCTTATTTTTGCTGGAACTTCTGTTTGCGCTCGGAGTTGAAGCTGTTTTGGCAGTTTCTAACGCTGAGTTCTTTTCAGTCTTGCCTGACTTTCTCCATTTTTATCCATCCAGAGAACAGAGCATCGATGCCCAACCACGATGATGTCCATGGTATAATTCATTCCGAGATGAGAGCAACGATGGCCCAACCATGATGATGTCCATGGTCTTACCGTTCTATTTTGAGAACAGCGCATGAACTGTATGGATCTCCGGCATGCTGCACTCGCAGTTCAGTATGCACCTTCATGCATCCCAAGCCAGTAGTTCCTGCAACGAGCCTGCGATCACCACCAGCACGAGTACTTAACTTCCTCACGCAGTCAAGCCTGCTGTGAACCCTGGTGTGCAACATAGTTGTGGCCCTCTCTGCACGCATGCTCCAAAATGAAGCCCTGAACACAAACAAACGTCTTGTAAATTAGTTGCAGCATTTCGTGGGTTTTCGGAATGAAGGCACCCTGTTATTCGACATTCCCACATGCGAGGGAGGATTTTTCCTGCTGCAGTTCTCCCGGCTAGCGGGTTCGACCTAGTTCCTGGTTGCTTTTGAGAGTTTTTTCGGAGGGGCTGTTCCAGTGATCACTTACTAGCCCTTTTACTTAATGGCAAGCCATGTCCCTGTAGTACATCATGATTGCTTGCTACGCGACGTGTGCATGCTTGCATACTGCTGCCATGGCAAGGTCTTGCCCAAGCGAGCTTCGGCAAGCTGCAGTTCAACATGTCTGAGCAAGCTAACAGGGTAGGTTTCCAGAGTCTTGCTTATATGCAAGTACCTAGTCCAGCCCCTAGTCTTCAAAGGCCATGTCCAGTCGCGATGGAACGCCAACGCCAACAACCATCCGCCAGGATCGGGTGCCTGCTGCAGGCACTTTGACAGACCTTGCGAATGCCAAGCCTTACAAAGAGAGGTTGTGCGTGCCCCCATGGCTCCAGTCTGGGGCACCGAGGCTCTTTGCTTTGCATGACTTCCCCTAAAGTGACTTTGCGTGACAAGCCAGGTGCTAGCCCTCAAGGCAAACAGGCCTTGCTTGCAGTGGAGCTCTTCCCTGGCAGAGCTTTCAAGCACAGTCAGCAAAGGCACAGTTGCGAATCCACTGATGGCTCTTTTGTTGTGGGCACGGAGGCCGTGCCCGAGCGACCGAGCGGAGCAACCTGAACCAAACGCAAGTGTCACCAGCGCAAGCAGGACCTGTCCAGCTTTGAGGGTGAGGAGTCCGACGAGGCAGAGCTTCGCAAGTGAGCTTCGCCATGCCTGCAGATGTTTGCAGCTGCTTACGGAGTGCTGCCTCCGTGACCTTTGACTCAGAAACTGCTGGCCTTGCTCGGTGACCTTGCCTTGGGTGCCGAGGAGGTCGAGGAGGCCCAAGGTAGCAGAGCGCAGTACAGTCATATGCCGTCTTCGGACTTGAGGACCCAGCTGCCCGTGTGCTTCTAGACGAGTGTGGCGCCTTGTGGGAGGAAGCTGGGCTCCCAAGGCGCAGGCGAGAGAAGTTTGCACGAAAGTCCAAGCAATCAGGTGCATATGGAAGCCGAGGCGAGCAGAGCAGAGTCGCATCCTCGCAAGTGATTAGGAATTGCTTGTGTGGAAAGGCCCAGCGCGAGATGCAGTGCCGGCTTCGCCGGGAGCTGCAGCACCTGCAGGACAGGAGCCACTGGCAGTCTGGAACTGAGATTCTGAGCTTGGAGGCTGATGTCAGCCTGTGTCTTGCGCATCTTGCGTTTCGGCGAAGGCATGCGGAGTCTGGAGCTTTTCTGCAGCGACTCTCGGTCGCCAGGGAGGCCTTGGCTGATAAAATCCGGGAGGCCACAGACGAGAATGAGGTGCCTTGGCAGCCTTGGCATGCCTTGGCCAGTCCCAGACCTGTGATTTTTGGTCTCACATCTCCAGGCTTTGCGACAGAAGCTTCGGCGGCATCATACGGAGGAGGAACGACTGCGCTGTGGACTTGCCGAAGGTTCGGGAGACCGCTCGGAAGCGATGCCTTCTGCTTCTGCAGCCTTCCGCCCGAGATCTGCGTTGCTTGGATGCCCGGGCCGCGGAGCTGCGGGCGGCGATCTTCGAAACGGGGCAAAGTCAGGCGGAGCTTGTGGAACGCCTGCGAGCCGTCACCAATACCCAGGCAAGTCCAAGTCCTCAAAGCCGCAAAGCATGTCAACAGCTGTGACCTGGCACACAAAGCAAGGCTCACTTGCAGGCAGAGCTGCAGCAGGAGCGGGTGAAAACCTGGCGCCAGGAAGCCTCGGCTGTTGCTCTCAGCTCTGCGACGCGTCAATCTTGGCCTTGCGACAGTCCAGCGATGTCGTCATGGCATTTGCTGGCGGCAAGGAGACATCGGAGTGGGGAGGCTAGGGCGAAAAAGATCCACGGAACATTCAATGTGCGAGGACGGCAGGGAGCTGGAGCGCGAGGAGGCTGAGAGGCAAGGAGCAGAAGCATTACGTCATCACTTGTCACATGTCCAACTGTGTCTTTGGTGTCTTCGAGGCTCCTCTTGGAGTCACAGCTCACAGAGGTGCAGCATGCAGCCGAGAGTCAAGCAGAGTGGCATTTTGTCTTGGGCTGTAGGTGGCCTCGCGTGCAGCCGCCACTGGCATCCCACGGCTATGCGACGAGGTGCTGAAGCCAGGTTCTTCACCGGCACGCCCTTCCGTGATGAGCCAGCTCGCTTTCGAGTTAGCATGCTGAGCCAATCGCCACGGGTTAGAGGAAAAGTTGAGAGTTTGAAGGCAGGAGACGGAGCGGCTCAACGAGAGCAGATGGAGAGAGGTAGACACAAGAAGCTTCAGTGTGTGCAGGAGCCCGAGGTGGCCGAGGCTGTCTTGGCAGCTGCTGACACCGTGCCCTTTGCAACGCTGCAGGGCCAGCTAGACAGCTTCGAGGAGCTCAGAGATGCTCAGAGCTCTCACCCGGATGTCAATTATTGTCACTTTGTGTCTCTCCCCCGCTAGGAGTTGCGTGGTGCTTTGGAAGCTTTGGAGGGCAGCTGCGCTCTGTCCACGGCCCAACAGAAGGAGGAGACTTAAGTGCCGAGTGCGCATGGCACCATGTTCGGTTTGTAGTTGTCCTTCAGGAGGAGGAGAAGCTGGGTGCCGAGCAGCTCGAGCTTTCCCGGCTTGCCGCAGAGATGGCGACCGCCGAGGCGGTCGAAAGACTCCAACAAGAAAAAGCAAACACAACGCCACAGGATGCATGCATGGCATCCTGTGGACAGTTTGAAGAACATTGTATGGGTTTGAGTCCTGGTCAGGCCGCAGCGCGAGGTCCAGAGCTGGATCAGGACGCAGTGTGTGGGAATGTTTTCGGCTGCATGTTGCAAGCTCTTCTTTCTCACAACTTCGGGCGTATCATACGTATCTTCTCGATGTTTCTTCTTTCAGCTTTGCTGCCTCTGCAGGCCTCGAGCCTTGTGTCAGTGCTCTGCGGCGAGCTGCAGAGTGAGCAGGCGCAGACATGACATGACGGGTTTCGGAGCCCATCAGTGCATCCCCGTATCGGTCAGGCAGTGCTACGGCAAGAGCGGGAAGCGGCTGCGCGGCGCCGGGAGCTCTTTCGCTCCCAGGTGCGACGGGGCCACACTGGGTCACACCTGAAACAAGGTCGTTTGAAAGCTCCGCAGCATTCCCAAACCCACGTCCCTCTGCTTGCGAAACTTCTTGAAACGAGGTTGAGCAGAAGCGCCGGGAACTCGCACGGTTGCAGGCACAGCTGTTAGAGAGGAGGGTGAAATGCCAGATGCAGAACGGCCCAGACGCCACCAATGTCCCTGAGGACCTAAATGACAAGCTTGTGGAGGACTTGAATTCGAAAGGCTGCTTTAAGCAACGCAAGCCATAGAACTGCCGTCGCGCGGAAAACGTCATTCCAGCACTGCACATGTCAATGAAACCTTTGGCATCCTCTCCGTTCTCGGTAGTGTCATGTCCTTTTCCATTGGTTTCTCCCTACTCCACATTGGCGATAAAGATTGAGAAGAATGCGGGCCGCCCTGGACGCACGCCGCATCGAATCTGTCTACTCAGTCGGCGACAAGCAAGCCGAAACCGCACCGGACTTGCGGCGGACATGCCGGCTTACCAAAACTGTAACCTTGGAGCCGCAGTTCGAAACTCCGAATGATTGTTCCAACAGCTCGCGAAACATGGGATGCCATCACTTGGACTCAATCCAATTGAACCTGAATGCAGCGAGGTGGGATGTTGCAAACAGTCCGTGCAACATTTCTGGACCGATCGTGCGCTTTCGGCAACACATTGCTTTCAGTTTCAGGATGACAGAATTGAAAGTCAGAAGTCTGACTCTTCACCAAGAAACAGCTTTGCTGCACCTACATCGCCAAAGCCATTTAGCAGCTATTGGCACCACTCACTTGTGCATTTCACCCTAGTTTGGTTCAAGGCCATGGCCAGCAGATCCGAGTCCTAGATGCCAAGACATGTAGTCGTAGAGCCCGACGGGCCCTGAGATCATTTCTCAGCCGTGCTCCAGCTGAGACCATGGAGGTGCACTCGGCACAGTTCCCTTGAAAGACTTCGCTTCACTTCAGACTGCTTCAGAAAATCTGAGGCGCCCTCCCGGTCGGTTTCAGCTTTTGCATGGTGGCTTGGCTTTCTGCTCCACACACTCGCCGGCCTTGGCGTCCTCGGCGCAGCACAGGTGTGACACCCGAAACACTTGCCATGGAGCGTTGAAGCACGCAGGCATGGTGAGTCCCAGGTCGATTGGCGCCTAGGTTTCGCGCTATTGCTGGCCTACTTCTTCATTACTGTGGGCTTCGCTGTGAACGTGGACGAGGAGCCCAGGCACCTCGACGATAAACGTGCCACAGAGTGATGCAAATGGTGCGACACTTTTCTGGCAGGCTTGCAAAAGGCCGCAGTGCTGCTTGGGTGTTGGTGTGGGGCTCAAGCCAGCTCTTGTATCGACTCGGCGTGCCCCGGTAAAATGCTGCGGCAAATACCGCCCCCCGAAGCCTCCCTTGCTGGTTGCAGTTCGGAGCAATTCCATATCCAGCACCAATGCGCAGAAAGACGACAACCAATGTGTGACAATGCAGGCCACAGCATGAACATAGCACGGAACAGTTGGCTAATGTTCAGGCGGAATACTGTACCGAGGTTTGCTGCCAAGTGCTGTTTCTCGGTTCCTGGCCGGGAACCAAGTGCAGTGTTGCAACATGCCTCATGGGACGTCAAACTTCCACGAACTTCAGGGTGAGAGTCGGCAGAGCATGTGTGCCACTTGCTGTCTGTGTTCTTTTCCTTTCCAGGAAAGCCTACATGCGCAGACGTCACAGGATTTAGGGAGCGAAGCTGCTCCGCGAGCCTCATGGCACTCCGTTTCCGGCCCTGGGCCGTAGTCCCGCTCCATTGTCGACATGTCGGTGCGGCTCGATAGTGCGATGTTTGCCGCGCAGTCGTCATTTCGGGTCTCAAACAAGCACAAACACGCAATGACAGTGAAATGTGCGCGGGCTTCTTGAACTTCCCTGGAAGCATATCTCCTTGCAGTAGATGTTCTGAAGCTTTCATCTCTTTGCACACTGCATCGCACTGCCACGTTCAAGCTTCTCAAAATCAGAAACCCAGGCTCGCCTCTGGTGGGGAGGTCTTTGAGGCAAGATACCGAGATCAAAACAGGACTCCCAGCACTTGCGTGTCTTGGAAGGCGGCGGGGTATGCAGAGGCTGGGTCGCCTCCAGACACGAGCCATGTGGATCGGGCCCAAGTCAGTTTAGGAAGAGGGACATTGGGCAGCAGATGCTGCAGAGGGGACGAGGCTCCGCTGCGGGTTGTGCTCAGGTCTTCGGCGGGCAACTTTACTTCTCGTCTTCAGACTTGCATGGCAGGCAGGGATGATCTGGGCTAGGCTAGAAGGCATGCGAAACATCGCGACAAGCAGTACAACCAGCGCATGAGCGCAATCATCAGAAGCGGTGCTGGAAGGTCATAACACGTCATAACCATTCTGGGACTAACTCAGATCTGCTGGAGTTCGCAAGCATCCGGTTGTTGATTCGGCGATTTTGGATTTCCGATCCCCCTACGCAAGGCTCCTGATGCAAAGCAATGGAACCTCCGTGGCTCCTGTCCCTCCAGGCCGTGCTGACGGACTGCAAATCCTCGATCAAGGGACCCCCCTCAAAGTAAGGCGTCCGTGATGCCCATGGTTTCCGCGAGCTGGACGGACGTCTCATGTTCTTTGGCGTCCCTCAGATGCACCTTGATTCCGCATTTTGTCGGGTGACATGGCGCATGTTGTGCCTTCGTCGACGTGAAATCCGTACCGTCCGTGCCCTCCCATTCGCTGTTCCAGGCCGCAGGTGCGGCCCTCGGTCTTTCACTCCTTTCAATTTGGGGAATGACAAGCTCATTCAGGCCCCTAGGCCTCTTCTCTTGCATTGCACCAGACGGACACGTGGACAGTGGGGAGAGCGTTTGGGCAATCTCTGCCAGCTGCCGCCCCAGACAGCACCAGAGCGCATCCATGCAGAAGCTGGGCCATGACTTTGTTTTCTGCAGGTGATGCTGATGCAGAGCTGTTACGAGGGCCCTTCCAGGAGACCCTCCGCTGGACCACGCCGACTGCTCGAAAAGTTGGCTTTCTGAAAATGTTTTCTTTGTAAAATTATGATATGCCAAACCCATCTTGTGCCGAGGGCCCAGGACCTGGTCTTCAAGGCGGCAGATGTTTGCATCGGGGGACTTTGGAATCTGAGAGCATGGCTCGACATGGAAGAAACGGATTCTGAATACGGTGATTCAGGGCTTTTTGACAAAGGTTTTGAGCCTCCCACTAGCGAGCACAGCCACTCGTTTGAACGTTGAAGGGCTGGGCCAACGACAGGCGAGGCGTTGTTCACATCTGCGGACATGACATGGTGTTGTCGGTGCGGCGACCTGGTGCTTGTGCGACTGCATACCAAGCTGGTGAGATATTACATGTCAAGCCAAACTCGAGGACTGAACTGTCCTCATCTCCCAGTTTAACTTAAAAGCTCTTCCGTTGTGTAGTTGATCACTGGATAGTTGCGATACTGTTGCGATGCTGTGGCTTGAATACAGTCTGCAATATGAGTTCATCACAAACGCCTCCTTGGGATGGAGATGATGGGAGACTGGTTTTGCCGCTTGGCTGGGGTCGTGCTGGCTTTGATGTGCTTTTATGACGCAGATGGGTCCTGTTGGAACTGCAGTGAAACTGCCGGGGCTCACGGAAGCCATGATGGCTTCGATCCGAAATCGTCTTCTCATCTGGGAAACTGCAAATGCCTCTCGGGTCCAGACCCGTGTCTGAAATCGCATCTCTGGCGGGAAATTGGATGTTTGTTGAATGCGAAATTTGCGCGGCGCTTGACGAGGGCAAGGTGCCAAAGACAGCAAGAATCAATTTCATGCCACGGACTACATCTCTGGCTTTCTGGCATGCTGCGAGGCTTTCGCATGTGTAAGATTGACACTCTAAACCCCTCAAGCCCCTCAAAACCTAAAAATCAAACCCTACATTATTCTACGCCCCTGAAGCCGTGAAGCCCTAAACCCCGAAACCCTGGACGCTCGAATCTCTGCCTGACCGTTACAGACGAAAAGTGCCCTACAGATTCATAGATTCATAGTATAAGGATACAGGGCAAGCGGGTATTGCTTGACCAACTCTCGAAAGTGTGCAAGAAGGTGACTTGAACAACCAAGCACAAACATAAATCACCTGCGTGTTCAGAGGCGACTTTGCAGACATCACAACAGTGTACTTAGGCTCTTAGAGTCATAGACTTGTCGGAAAGAGGCTGCGGGCACATGTGGTCCATTCCGCAAAGAGACGCTCTACTCCAACCTCAGCCTCGTGGGCCCAGGCACTTAGCGAAAGCTTGGAAGTTCCTTTTGTTTTTGTTCTGGACCGAATTTTCCAAAATATGTCAAGCTTGCGATGCTTGCGGCAAAAGGCCAGGACCTTCCGCCGGACTGCGATGACCTCGCAGCAGGGCTGGAGCCCAGGCGGATTCAAGCCAGGAGAAACACAATGGATTCTTAAGATGCGAGAGGCCCAGCACCTCACGGCTCCTGGGGGTGCTCTTCTTGGGAGTGCTTCCACAGACAGGCTCCGGCACCGAGCTTTCTGCCGTGCAGTGCCATGCGGCGCATTGTGGCGTGCAGCTCGAAAGACCCTTCAACTCCACCAGGCCTCGGTGCTTATCTTCTGATCCGGAAGCAGGTGGTGGCGGGCCGAGCGGGCCCAGCCCAGCCCAGCCTTTTAAGTCCTCTATGCACTTCTCTGTGCTCAGCCTGGTGCATTCGTGAGCGTCTTTGTGGGCGCCTATGCTATGGTGTTGCTGATCCACCTGCTGCCTGGCACTCAGAGGACGGAGAAGATCCAGACTCGATGTCACGTTGAGCAGTTTAGCAATCGAGAAGGATGGAAGAGCGCGAAAGGAAGGAGTGACATCCTGGTGTTCTTGCATTCGGGTGCGATTGCCACTTTCTTGCCAGCGTCGTATTCATGCAATGAGGCAACAAACAGAAAAATTGTTGTCAAGGGATCTTCCTTCCTTGAAACTCTGTTGGACTGCACATGGCCGACCTCCCGGGCTGAGATGGCCACGGAGCACAGAGTTCTGCGGGCTAAGCAAGACTGTACTGAATCCAGAACTTGCGGAATCCCGCAGGCAGGCAAGGTTCATGTTTGCGGGCATCCGTGGGCTGAGCAGACGTGTGCGGACATTGGTTCATTCGACGGGGCACAAATTGCAAAATCCGAACTCGTCGCATGAAAATACCTAGCCGACCTAGCCTGTCGAGGTTGGATACGCACCGCGCTGATAGCATGCAAAGCTGAAAGAATAAAACAAGATTCAATCTGCCATTTACAAAAGCAAGGCGAGAGGTCAATCAAAAGCGCGTCTCGATGATCTCAACAGAGCTGTCAAAGCTGACCAGCAATTGTCATGTGAGGAAGCGGGTTGCAAGCGAAGAAACGATTGACTACGGTTTCACTCGAGAGCACAGGGCATCACCGGCCGATCCTACCTTGGCTAGAGTCTAGAGCGCAGAAAGGCGGTCCCTGTCAGGATTCTCCAAACGAAAAGCCTACCTCGTAAAGAATACCAGAAGACAGTACCATATCCATCTCAGTCTCCCGAAACATAGAGATTCAACAGCACCGCAAGGTCGTCGACGACATCGTCCCTAAATTGAGCCCTTGCCCTTACTTGCTTTTATGGTGCTCTAGCTTGCCTCTCTGACGAAGTGCTTTTTCGGCAGCCGAATTCGTGATCCCGCTTCAAAATGTTTTCACGGTTTCGTGGTGCCGGATCCCTCAGCATTCGGACAAGTGGGGCTTTCTGAGCAGCGTTCGGACTTGTGCAGCGCATCCATGCGCTCCGGCAGTTTGCAGAGGATAAGTTGCGGCTGTTTAGATGTACCAACAACGGTGCATACGAGCCTTGTTCGCTGTCTGTCGGCAAGAAGTGCCCCCGGCGGCTGTTACGCAAGAATCAGACAAACACCTTCATCGAACACTCCTCACCTTTGTGTTGATTTAGCCCAGTCAGCCCTGAGGAGCCTGTGACCCCACTCCGGTGTTTCGAGCACGGACGCAGCCCAACTCCGACAAGTGACTCCAGTCGATCTCGTCCGACATCTGGACCACAGCTTGCCTAGCTTCTCTTCGTAGAGTTGGATTGAGAAGCATGAAAACGAGCTGATCGCATGCTTCAGCCACGGTTGGTCATATGGATCTGATCACAGTTACATGTCCATGGCCTTCAAGCAGTAGTCGAAGGTTCACCACCCATGAGGCCGTGCTGGCAAGACTATGTTTCCGGCGATTGACGCTTCGGTCGAAACGCATGCCTCGGTAAGAACGAAGCCTCCCCAAGGCCTTGCTGTCACTGATGCCTCCGAGTAGCTGTGTATCGTCCATATATCGAAATGTTAGGAGTTGGTGCCAAGCCGGACATCAATGCTCTTGACGGTTGAAGGAACCTTTCCCTCGCCCGGCTTAAATTGGAGGCATTGATTTGGATGAGTTGGCACTGTCAACAGTGGTCCTGATAACATGTTCGCAGTGTCAGATCATCATGCAGAAGGAGGGCGTATGATGCGTATGTGTGCAGACCTGCCGCGGTATTTTCGGAAGTGCGTTGGCTGCTCTGGGCTTGTGGAGTGGCTAACAGGCCTCCGTTTGAGATCGATCAAGCAAGTACGATATTCTTCCAATTTGTAAGCTCACCAACTGTCTTCCAACTCCTGGCCTGATGTCGAAGCTGTTTGCATGGGGCGGCTTCTTCCGCTTCATGCTCCAAACCCCTTGGTCATTTTCTCGCAGAGAGTGGCGTACACAGGCGTCACCACAGGCGTCACCTGTGCCAGTGCCTGTCAGATCGGAGCTCTCGGCAGACGCAGAGCCTGTCTTTCGACTCCGAGCTCGCCGCCATCCGCAGAGCCTCTGCCCAAGACGCCTTAAAGTTGCTGCTCCAAGTCTTTGCATGCTCTTGCCTCTCGACCGTCGTCTCATCAACGTGACCATTTCTTTCGGCACGCAGACATCTCATGACCATAGCAAGAGTAGGAGAACAGCATTTCGCTATGTGAGAAGCCGGTACCTCTCCTGATGTCGAGCTTCCGGTCTGAAGCGGATTTTGATTCGTGGTTCATCCAACTTACTTCCTGATGGGTCCGCACCGCAATTCTTTGCAACTCCAACATAGTGCTGCTTTGCTGAGGCCCCGCAATACAGCCGTTCTGTAGAACTGTTCTCTACACTTACACTTTATTTACATCAAGCAAATCCGGTTGTCGGTGACTTGTCACTTTCTCCAGATGGGAATATCCTGTCGAAGTCTAAAACCCATTCATCTTCCACCACAGGATTCCCCCGCCAGGATGCCTCAGCAGTAGCCGATCATTTCAGTAATGTGCGTTTCAAGCGACAGCTTCCACATGACATGAACCGTGCAAGATCAGACAAATCAAGGACAAGATGAAATCACAGGAGTTGGATGAATCCCGAAAAGCTTGCTGGCCCGGTACATATTGCATCCGGTTCGTGACAGAGCGTGGGATTCTTCATCTGCGGGCTAGACATCAAGAACGCGGCCGAACGTGGTTTATGAAATCGAACTCATTCGACTGAATAGTTGTTGGCAATCATACCGACATGTAAATGCTCTGCTTCTCCGTGCAACATGTTCCTTCCGAGTTCGCAAAGCTGAAGTGGCTTCTGGCTGAAAGGCTTAAGGTCGTTCCTTCTTCCAGCAAGATTTGCTCTGCGGGCCGAGAGGCAGATTTGCTCTTGTGCACCCGATTGCCACCAGTCCAAAGCCATGGATTTTGAGTGATTTTGTCTTGGCTGTGCAAGACATCTTGTAGATAGATACTGAAAGGCTCCTGAAGACAATGACCATCTGCCAGAGCTCAATTTCGATGTTCCATCAGCGAAGTAAGGAGATGACATTGATCCTTGGTAAGGCTTCACTCCGGTATCCTTGGCTTTCAGCTTCGCCTCCTCTTCGGTTGCATTCTAATTCAGCAACGTCGATCCGGTCATCGATAGTAGTTGGTCATCAAAGAGCATTGTCGGTTGAGACATTTGTGTCTGGTGTATGCCGGGCCAACTGGGTTGGATTCTGTTGTGCCGCAGCAGTGTCCGTTCTTCTGGGATTATTTTGTGGATTGATGCGCTGTTGGATGATTGGATGTAAGTAAGGCATTGAATTGTCGGAGATTTAATGAGTGTGACATGCCCTACTGATTGGAGTTCCTGAGTGGTGGATGGCTTTTACGTCGGACAGTGTTCGTGCTAGTTAAACCTTGCATTCTCCGTTTTGCTCTCAGCTGTTTGTTCTGGTCCCCAAGGATGCAGGGTCACTTGGTCAACCTGTTGTTCTTCCTCCAGGCGCGCCCATGCAGATGTAGACATGCTGCAGGTCGTGACAGCGGCATCGTGCAAGTTCCAACAGGTCCACTGTCCTTCTAGTTACTACATTGGAAGATTCACATGACACATTGCCAAGTTATGGGTAGGGTATGTCGGTTTCTGTCAGTTTTGTCGTTTAGTTCTTGGCATTTGCTTGGTCTTGTTGGTCAGGCGGCAACCCTGTCCATCACCAGGAAGTGATTTCCTAAGGCGCGTCACGGATGCTTGTTTCCCAGGCTTCGTCTTTGACCTACACGGCCAGCTCCTGCATCGCTGTGGCCGCGAATCAGGTGACGACGTCTTTGCCGTCTTTTGCATTGATGTCTTTTCTTTGTGCCTTTTGCTTCTTTTGAGGTGGCCTGGCAACGCGGCAGTGGCTTCGTAGTGGCACTGGGCGATTGGGCGTCCGGCGCGTCGGCTTTGGGCCTGGCCAGCGCCCTGGCACTTGCGCGGGCCCCCAGCGCTGGACCCAGCAGCTCGGATGCAAACCCGCCCAAGCCCGCCCGTGCTCTGGAGGCACTTCCCGAGCTGCCTGCGGCTGCGGCTGCCTGTGTTTTTCTAGCATGGGCCTGAAGCGTTTCTTAGACGACGGAACCACGTTCGAGAGGAGATCCTGTTTGCCATGGTCAAGGTGGTGTAGTGAAATTCGCTTGTGCATCTTTTTCGCGGCACCTCACCGGCATCGCTCGCATGACGCACACTTGTTGCCTGCATTTGCGAAGGGATGAACTCTTTTTGCCACACTGTCACATGCCGAGACTGATCACAGATCGGCAGATCTCTGAAAAATGATTGGGCGAGGGACTTGTCGTCCAGGTGCTGGCGCCTTTCCTCAAAAGTGCGATCCCCGCCCAGCACGAAGCCCAGACGAGTTCGCAGTGTCGTCGTTCTGGAAGCTGCGAGATGAAGCGAGGTTGGCATTCCTGGGATTTCTGCTACTCTGCTCCAAGGCCAGACGCAAACGCACAGCGCAGCACAGCGCAGCACAGCGCATGGTGCAACAGCAACAGCTCTCTGCAGGTCGGTGCCGCCTGGGATGGCCCCTGGGGCCGAGGCCGCTCGACACCCGAGCCAGATGATTCTTGAAATTCAGCTGCTTGCGTGTGTTAGTGGATGGGCATGTGGGTGCAAGCGTATGTGTTTGGGTGCCTGCGGGTGGGCTTGCATGAAACTCCTGCGTTCACGGAGCTTTTCTTGTCGACTCGTCAATTTTCCCCACTGAAGAACAGAACGGACGACACCTTGGCGATCTTTGGCCAAAAACTTGTATATAGCTGAGTGCAGGCGCGTCAGGCGTTCAGTGGCTACCTGACACCGCAAAGCTGCGCCATAACGACTTCGCAACTTTCGATATGATGCGTCAAGTACCTGCACCGCGCTACAGTGCAAGCGTTGGGTAAGTAAACAAGTCAGTGAGCTCAGAGGTCACTCATTTTCTTAGCTTGCTCTGCCATGAGAATGTGGCTCTCAGAAATCCAGTGTCCACTCATTTTCTTAGTATTTTCTTAGCAAGCATTTGCAGGGAGCAGGTGCTAACACCTCCAACATTCCACCTGCCTTCCTTGTAGTAGACAGTGTTAAGAAAACGAGTACTCATTTTCTTAACCGTATTTGCGGCTGGATTTGGACCTGGG